GCTGCGAGGCGGCCCTGGAGATAGGGTCGTTTTATGGGCCCAGAGAGCTTCTCTTGGGGCTCGTCAGAGCAGAGAACAGTCTGTTTTCAGATACTCTGTAGGAAGTTCCGCCACACAGCGGAAGTGGGTGTTTTACCTACATAAGTGTTCCTCAGAGCTCGATGGCTGTAGTTCCTGTAACTTCTTGGACTCTAGCTGTGCTGGCCGCCTTGCCTTGCCTCCAGCGAGGCCATTCCGCGCCCACCGAGGCTTACATGTGGAGTCGTCGGAAACTGCCCCTCTGTGGTGACCATTAGCCTTTGCGCTCTCATTTTGGTGAGAGCCGCTGGTCTGTAAATATGAGTGTCAAAGATCACCGGGAAAATTTGTCCAAATCTGAGGAAAATAACTCGCTACCTTCTCTTCCCAACACACGCTACACACTTTTTGTTTGTATAGAGTCTGGGGCATTTGTTGTTAAAAAGTATTTTTTGGGAAACCCTAGGGACTTTGTCTAAGCAAGCCTGCCTTGGTAAGGTGCTGGGGTGAAATAAACGTACAGAACCCAGTCGATTTCCCATGTACTCTGTTAGCATAATTCAGTTAGAAAATGAAATGGTTCAAGACCCAGGGCCCAGTAGCCCCAGAGTATAAAATTCTAAGCATTAACAAAGAAAAGTCAGGAATTATATAAAAATTGCTGTTGGTTTTCCTGAAAGATATAGATGACTAATTCCTCCCTAAATAGGAAAAATCTTTTTATCCTGAAGTTGACTATTTCTCTGACATAACTCATAATTTAAATTGTAGTAGGGTTATTTTTTGAGTTTTTTCACCTTGCTGTTCGCCTTGTTTGTTCACCTAAGTGTTCCAAAGAAAATAACGAAACCATCAGCAGTATGGTGAGGTCTGTTGTACATGACATTAAAGGAGCAATTGATGTTCTAGAAGGTATGGAATGGACGTGAGGAGAGCAACAGGGACAGACTCTGTTAGGGAATTTAGGATGAAGGCAGCATTTTGTATTAGCAGGAAAATGGTAGATCATGAAGAGCAGCCACGCAGGGGGAAAGAACCCCCTCTTCATGTTGCAAACGACCTTAACTGTCAGATTAGTTCACTAAGTGGAACAAGCAAATGATTGCGACAAAAAGAACGTTGAAGCCTAGACTGGGGAAGGCTAATAATAGGACTAGAATATAGTTCTGTGTGTCAAAATCCATAAACTCGGGACAAAGCGCAAAGGCTTTGTCCGTTGTCAAGATCATGCTCCTCCTAGGACAAAGGCGGAGTCCGTGAGGAGGCGGTTGAGAAGAGAAGTGTGGCGAGGCCTATAAACGCAAGAGCTAACACCTGCTCCATATTTCCTGCGGAATCGATGCAGAGCAGCAAGGGGCACTAGAACTGGCCAGGACACGGCGCAAATCGTTTACCGGTCGTTGTCAGAGTTCTTCACCCCACACACAATTGCCAGACTGCTCAGGCTCGGGGAACGACAGTGGTATTCATTTAACGAACCAGGGAAAACAAAGGTGCTGAGGCCAGACGTGGCCGCTTGCCACGGTTTTCAGTCCGAAGCTAAAGTAGCTAGGACGGCGTCTTCCTGCCGCTGCGGCTGCAGCTCCTCTCCCCAGCAGCAGGCTGCGTGTCCAAGATGGCGTCTTCCTGCCTCTGCGGCTGGAGCACGCAGCAGCCAGACTCCAGGCCGGTCCCGACTCACAAAGCCCACGGAAGGCACGATGGGAGATGCCCCCGAGCTGCGGGGGCCCTCGCCTTCGCGGCCAGGCAGCAGTCTCGGCAGGAACGGGGACACTTGCAGTTGCTGGGCTGCTTGCAGAGCCTCCGGGTTTTCCCTCCTGCAGCTGTGTGCCAGAGGCCTCCACCTTCGGAGGCTCACAGCAGCCTTCTGGAAGATGGGTGCTGTGGGGGCTGAAATCGCTGATGCCAGATGCTAAGGTCTGAAAAGCTCTGGGTTCCAAGAACTAAAATGACTCATGCCCCTGCTGCAGCCCCTTGTATTTATCTGTCGCTTGGTCCCCCTGAAGGTGATACTTTTTAGCAGTTTCCCAGGGCCTGTTTACCCTTACCAGCCACCCCCTGCAGGGTGGCCTGTGGCTTCAGCCACCTCACAAAACGAGACAAGTTAGATGCAGATGCAGGCTAAGGACCTTGAATGGAGACTGTCCTGATGGGCCTTAAATGAAACCCCCCAGTGCAGAGAGAAGGTGAGACAAAGCTCAGTTTGAAAACACCAGCTTGGAGGATCGGAGTCTTGTGGCCACACTTGTGGGATGCTGGCAGCGGTAAGAGTGGAGGTTGCCCACACCCTGCCCGCTCCTGTCCTCGGCGCAGTGATACTGATTTTTGGCTTCTAGTCTCCAGAACGATGAGAAAATAAGTTTGTGCTGTTTCTGCCACTTAATTTCTAGTGATTTGTTACAGCAGCCCGATGAGACAGCACAGCACTGTGAGTTTCTACCGCGGTGTCAGGCGGTGCGGTGCCGGTGATGCAGGTTGCCAGAATTGAAGCCGTGCTGCGGGCAGTGAGGCGAGCACTAAGCGCAGGGGGAAGCTGGGGAGGCTGTGCGGCTGGTCGCCTGTTCGCGCCGGGTCTCCAAGCGGAGGCCGCTGCCGGGACCAGGCGGTCATTCCTCCGGTGAAGGCGTAATCAGGGGGCATAGCAGGCCTCCGTGCTACATACCGAAGCCCAGAACTTAAAACTACACGGAGGAAAACCTGGTAAACTGCAGGGAGAAAGACTCAGCACGTGGACATGGACCTGCGTGTAGAAGACCCGAGCGACGCCAGCCCTGCGGCCCGGTGGGGCTCTCCACTGTCGCTGGAGCAGCGGGAGACCCGGCTCCTCAGATGCGCGCAGGCACCGGCCGGGACGGCTTGTGCGGGGTCCCCGAGCAGCTCTGTGTCACGGCCTTACCCAGGCCCCCAGTAAGCCGGAGGCGCTAGGGGACGGCAGTCTGGAAAAGCCCAGTTCTGAGGAAGAGGACACACGTCCTCATCGCCCACAGGCAAAAGCTGTCAAAGTATTTGACTTGATACTGAAAATGAAAACAGCATTTCAAAGCGGGTGCTGCCAAGAGCGCCTAACGGCGGATGTGTAGCTCTCAGTGCTGCTCGGAGAGGTCGGCGACCTCGGCCTCCACCTTGGGATGCTTGAGGAACGTGGGGACCGAGTCGAGGGGCCAGAAGGGGTGTTACGAGCCGTGTTCAGCCACTTCAGAGAAATGGACAAGCACCTCGAATGATACAGTTGTCTCAAGAAGAAATCGATGACCACAGGTCTGCACGAAACCTACGTCAGTATGTACGTTAGTTACCGGTAAGCCGCTGAGCGTGCTTGGGGAGGGTCTGTGCAGCTGCTTCTGCGCCTGAGCTGTGTGGAGTGTGACGCGGGTGGAGCGTCCCTGGGGAGCTGCGTCTCCGTGGGGGGTGCTGTGGAAAGGACTGTCCGTGGTTCTCCGTCGTGCCGCGTGCGGAACTAGGACTTGTGTGGACGAGTCAAGGCACATGGGCGGTAGGAGTCACTTCACCTGCCTTCTCCGGGAGATGTGCCGGCGGGCGGCGCAGCTCGCTCGGCGGCTGGCCGCGCTGCTCTGAGCAGTGCCCGGCTGGCCAGCGCGTCATTGTGCCCGACCGAGCAGGCGCACCGGCTCTGGGTCTGGCTGGGCTGGGCGAGCTTCTGTTTCTTGCTTGTCGGTGGCCGCGGCCCTTGGCTTTTTCTTGGGCTCGAGGCCCTGTGTTGGCGGGCATCGGGCGGTGAGGAAGGGGCGGGGCCCCACTGCGCCCTCCGGCCGGCCGTCTCCGAACCAGCGGCTGTGTCGTGCGGCCGCGGAGCTCACCGTCGGTCGGCTGCAGGGACGTCGCCCCTCAGCTCCGCCTCGGTCTCGGCCGGTTTCAGCCACGGGGTCCCGACAGCCTACACGGGCTGCCAGCTCAACACTTCAGAAGTCCTTTCAGGCTTTGTGTCAGCACCTGTTCTTGGGAGATTGTGATGGAGCAACGCGGCCGCAGCCCGACGGTCACCGTGGGCGCGTGCAGGCACCCGGGTGGTGCTTTGGTGTGTGCGGAAGCGAGCTGAGAAAGAAGGACGCGTCACACTGGCGTCTGTGTCCCACAGTTTCGCGTCTCGCAGGTGGGACTGGAAGTAGCAGGTGCTCTGGGCTTCGTTGGCAGAAGCAGGTCTTGGAGTCTAAACTCAGAACCAGTGAGACTGATCTGACAGGTGTCACCTCTAAACAGACCTGCATTGTAGACAAGCTTCAGATTCGTGGGAAAATTGCGGAACAGCGCAGCGTGTTGCCGTCAGCCCAGCAGCGTGTTCGTGCGGCGAGTCTCACAGCGAGGGCGTCACGCGGCGTGTGCTGGCCGAGACCGCACGCAGCCTTTGCTTTTCAGAGTCCTCTCGGGACACCAGTGCCTTGGCGCGCTTCGTCGTCATGCCTTCTTGAGCTTCTCTCGACTGTGACAGTTTCTCTTCTTTTTTTACTTAGAAATTCTCCTGAGTTCCAGAAGCTTCTGGGCATTGCCATGGAACTCTTCCTGCTGTGCAGTGACGACGCGGAGTCGGACGTCAGGATGGTGGCTGACGAGTGCCTCAACAGAGTCATCAAGGCAAGGCCCCGGGCGGCGCCCCAGGCCGTGGCGGCCTTCCTGCGTGTGTCGGAGCCGTGTCGCGAGACCCCGCGCTGTTCTCGCTCAGGACGTGCGTGCGGTCTGGGGGCTCGGGCTTGCCAGCATGCTTGGTCATTCGCTGCCCAGGTGTGGCTCGCAGTGGGCCGTGACAGTGGCCAGCTGTGCTGGGGGGCCTGTCGCTGCAGACGCCATGCTGGTGTAGAAACTGGGGAAACGCCGGCCGCGGCGCGGGCCTCGGGGCGCGGGGGGTGTGAATAGAATCGTCTCGGGTGTCTCCTTCCACTGTCACTCCTAAGCCCCGGTCAGGTAGGAGTCCTCGCAGGCGGAGGGGCTGGTGGGGCTGGGGAGGAAGGGCGTCCCCGAAAAGGATCGCAGAGCCAGAGGCCCCTGGGGTGACGGTGCAGGGAGAGGAAGGGCGCTTCTCTGTCAGTGTCTCCTGTCATGGCTGCGTGTGCCCTCTGTCGCTAGGGCCGCCCTCTCCTGCCATTGGAGAGGAGCCGGCCCGGTGCGCTGGGGACTCCACACTGAGCCGCCTGCCTTGCTCTGCCCCGCTAGCTGGGCCCCAGCCACCGTCCTCTGGGCTGCGGCTGTTGCGTGGCCTCGGCAGCTGGCGCAGTGGAGGAGGCTGTCTGACAGTCCCCGTACTCTGCACGACGGTCCGTGCTGGGGTTGAGGTGACAGCTTCCAGGCCCCCTGCGCGGTCCGTGTTGATCGGACCTCTCGTTTGCTCTCCGCCAGCGATGCGCCCCCCCGCTCATTTGGCTGAGAGGCCCGCCTTCATTTTCCGTGAGGACTTTGCTAGTTCTGCTGCTTGGGCCAGATGAACCGGGAGCCCCAGCTTGAGCTAGGTTAGGGAGGCCACCCCCCTCTCAGTGCGTTCCTGCAAGCACAACGCCAGAACGCCGTCCGCCGAGGCCTTCCGGGTCTTCCAAGCGCGCCCCGGTTACCCTGGCCAAGATGCCGCCGCCCTCTGTCCTTGGCGGGCTTGGCTTACTGGGGGCGGGTGTCAGCCTTCCTGTGTAGGGAGCCCTCGCTGCCCCTGCCGCTGGATGGCCTGGGTGCATCAGCCTGCGAGCCTGCCTCCTGGGCCACAGACGGCGGCAGGCGAGGGTCAGAGACTGCTGCGGTGGCAGGCCGGCGCCCTCCTGGCCTCTGCGCAGAGAGAGCATTGAGCGGGCTCCTTAACAGCTTACGAGAGGTGGGGCCGCGGGAGCCCCAGCGGCCCCCTGTGAGCGGCCCTGTCGCTCCTGGGACCCTGTTCCCGCGTTTCACCGCAGCCATAAGCCCTGGCTCCTGTCAGAGCGGCCTGCCGGGGTTCCTCTGTTGGCTAGGGCGTCCCTGCGTGCTCCCTGCCCTTCCATTTCATGCTTTTGCTTGCTTCCTGCCTCGGAGCGTGGCCAGCGGCCACTTACCTTGCTGAGACTGGCATGAGGGGCCCACGGCATGCTTGCAGGTGGCCTGTTTTAGTTACCTTCTCTTGAGGCCTGAACATCCTTGCTTGCTTTTATTACCCCTACTGCAGGACCAGGTTGGCTTTTTCTGACAAAATTCAGAATTTCGATCCTTAGGGTAAGAGGATTTGACGAGGCCACCCCAGGTGGTTGGGAGGACAGTGTGACCAGCGCGCTGGGCCCGTCTTCGCCAGGGTCTGCTCCTAGGCCTGCTTGGGGCTCACGTGTGCGGGGGTCTGGGGCCAAGGGCTGTGGTGCTGGGTCCTGCCTCTCCTGGTCACTGCCTGACCGCGCCCCGTGCCCTCTTTCCGAGTCTTCCAGGGCAGACCCCGGCTTCTCATGCCCGAACCTAAGAGCTGGTCAGTCTCCTGCAGCCTTTCTTTCTGCAGAAAGTTGCACCCGCAGGACTTGCCTATACCCAGAGGCTGCTTCCTCGAATGCTTTCGGCTTCGTCCGGGAGCTGGGTGGCCGTCCGCCAGGTCCGCCCTCTGCGGGCAGGACGCGCAGCTGGCACTGCATGCGGCCGTGGCTCGCGGGCCCTGCGCCTGTCCTCTGAGAGCCGCTGAGGGCTCTGCTGTTTATGGAGGACAACGCGCCGGGGCCTGACTCGGCTCCTGTTCACAGGAGGGGCCTATTGTGGGGCCGCGTGCGTCACCTCAGGCGTGCTTGTCGCTCAGTGCTGTTGGCCACTCGCCGCCGGTCAGCAGACTGAGGTGATTTCTGTACGGGGATGCTGAGAGGCTCCCTGCAGGTGATGGTGAGCAGGCGAAGCAGGCGCTGGGCACCTTCCTTGCCTCCCAGCACCCTGTTTCGAGGGCGAGACAGCTGCCTTTGCAGAGGACCATGCAGAGGGCCTTATTTGGGCGAGAGCGAGCCGTGCCGGGAGACCGACGTGACCGGCCGAGTGCTTTCTTGGGAGCAGCAGCCTGGTGGCCGCCTGCGGCCAGAGCGACGGCGCCGTGCCGAGGGCTGGGCAGGCCGAGGGAGGCGTGGTCTCGGGACGGTGGCAGGCCCCAGGACGTGAGTGGGGGGGCTGCCGGCGCTGACTGACCCCTGGGGTGCCTGTCGGGGTCGAGTAGAAGCGGTTCAGGAGGAGGGTCTGTTGCATGGCCCAGAGGGTGAGAGCTGCCGCTCCGTTATCGGGGGCCGGGGGCTGAGCTGTCTCTCGTTGGAGGGAGCTTGATGTCGGCTCACAGTATTCAGAGCTCATGAAGCCGAGTCGCACTCTGGCCCGGCTTCAGGTTTTACCGCACACCCTGTTTGGTCTGCTTAGCGGGGGGTTTTCAGCACAAATTACAGCCACAGAATCGGGATATGAAGCTGCTGAGTTGCAGTTCTTCAGAACCTCCCACACGTCACCCTGCCCTGGTGTGTCGAGCTCCCGAAGATCGCGACCCAGGGCGTCTGGGCCGGGCCTCTGGGTGCCCTCTGCGCGTGAAGGTGGCCTGTCGGTGGCGGCCCCGTCCCCTTTGTCTCTGTCCTGGTGACAGGCTGCCCACAGTGCTGCTGCAGAAGCGAGGGCTCCCGCGACACGAGTGCACCTCCCTGCTCCCCCCGCTTCCCCTGCTCCCCCCACTCCCGCCTGCTCTCCCTGCTCCCCCCTGCCCTTCCGGCAGTAGGTGCACCTGTGGCCCCACTTTTGGTTCGGGTGGGGCAAGCGGGGAGGCAGAGAGGAATATGAGGCTCCTGCTGGGGCCACCCGGGCGCGGAGCCTGAGTCCGGGCGCCAGGCAGCCCCGAAGGGCGGGCTCTTTGGGGGCACCGGCTCTGCGGCCACCATGGCGTCGCTGGCCTGGCTCGGCGGGGCTCCGCAGTGTGTGCTGGCGGTCGAGCCTGCCACGCCACGGCCCGCGGGCGGGGGGCTGTGGCGCGGCCGTGAGCCAGCCCCGTTTGTTTCGGTCGCAGGACTTGGCGCACGCACTCATGCTTCCCTCCCGCAAGTGGCCGGCCTCTGGCGTACCGGAAACTTCTGCTCCTGCGTGCTTCTTCCTTAACAAGTAGGGCCTGTGCCGAGTCGCGCTTCTGCTCGCCCCTAGGTTGGAAATCTCGCTTTCCTGTAGCCTTCCTGAAGTGCTGAGCGTGTGTCTGCCATGGACAGGCCTCTCGTGTTCTCTTGCAGGCTCTGATGGATTCCAACCTCCCCCGGCTCCAGTTAGAGCTCTATAAGGAGATCAAAAAGGTAGGCCTTGCCGGGCGCGCCGAACGGTGGCACTGCCCCGCTGGTTGACCGGTGCTCCTGGAACGGAACAGGGCATGCTGTTGGCTGATGTGGCCTCTGTCCCTGCACTTTTCCAGTGGTTACTCTTCATTACTTACCAGATAGGAACTTGGGATGTCAACTTCTGTTTGTCCCTTTATAACTGGGCCCCGACTGGACATTCATACCTCTAAATACCTGTACATTCCAGTGACCTTTTCTGTGAGAAGAGGTGAAGAGAATGCTTGTGTTTGTGTGGCGCTCTCTCGGTGACTGGTGTTTGTGACTCTCAATGTAACACCTGCCCGCTCGCTGCTCCCATGCAGAACGGCGCGTTCCGGAGCCTGCGTGCTGCCCTCTGGAGGTTTGCCGAGCTGGCTCACCTGGTCCGGCCGCAGAAGTGCAGGTGAGCTGTGCGTGCTGGGTCTCGCCTTGTCTGCGGTGGGTCCCCCGCCCTCGGTCAGATGTGGTCTTCCTCGTCCTCAGAGGTCTGCCTGCCCCGTCTGCCCCTCAGAAGCGCAGTCAGCATGGCTCAGCTTATTTTCCTTTTGCGGCCCTGACAACTGTCAGGAATAATCTCTCACACTTGGTCAGCGCGCTCGCTTGTCCTCCCTGACCACCCCAGAGGCTCCTAGGACGTGCACCCGGGGGCAGCAGGGCCGCGCTTTTGCTCTCTGCTGCCGTCCAGCACCGCTGCGTGTCCACACAGCCCTGTCAGGGCGGAAGCCGAGGGCCAGCCTCGTCGGTGCGCTCTCAGAGTTACTGGGAGCTGCGCGCTGGCTTGGGGCGTGGGCTGAGTGGGGGATATTGAGTGTGAAGGACGTGTGAGGGGTCGAAACAGGTCTGGCCTACTCGAGATGACAGAGCCAGGGCTCATGAGAGGTTTCTCTGGAGAGAAGGCTTCCGTGGCTGCGGAGCACAGTCACTAGGAAGTTTCTCTGCTGAGGTGTAGTGGACAGACGGCGTCATTGACTTCGGGTGTGCAACGTGATGATTTGACATTTGTGTGTTTTGTGGAATAATCATGAGAAGTCCAGTTAAATTCCAAGAAATTTCTGTATATGCAGCCTTTTTCTGTTACTCTTTCTTTTGAACAGTTTTTATAGTTCTGAAGCAATACATGCTCCTGAGCGCATCACAGAACAGCCAAAGTCACCTCACAGATAGGACTGGGTCAGGGCCTTCCCGGCCGGTGCTAGAGCGCAGCACTGAGGCCGCCCGGCCACCGCGGCATGAGCTCGACCCTGGCCAGGGAGGGACCCAGGGCGCAGCAGGCCCCGTCTCCCATTGCCCCGTCAGCAGTGGGCTTCAGCCATCTGCCTGTTCTGCTCCCCACTCTCCGCATCTCTGGCCTGTACCCCGGTTCTGCAGAAATAAAATAAATCTTCTAAAAAAAAGAGAAAAAGTTTGGTTATGCTTTTCCAAGAAAACTTTATTCTTACTAACTTTTCTTTCAAGTGGAATTCTATTTTTAATTTCCAGCGCATTTTAACAACTCACTACTTCACTGCACATAATTCTGAGCCATGCTTTAGAGAGGGCCCTGTTTATAAAAGAAATGAAGGGAGCGTCGCGTCTCCCAGCATTCGGATGTCACTCGCCTCCTGTCCTGTTAGCGGAGATGGGTAACTTCTCTCTCCAGCGTGCGCTGCAGACTGCACCTGCCTTTCCCCAGCAGGCGTTAGAGTAATTGCTCGCGTTTCTCATGAAAGTGCACCCAGAGCCGACTTCGTCTGTCCATCTGCGCAGGCCTTACCTGGTGAACCTTTTGCCATGTCTGACGCGGACCAGCAGGAGGCCGGAGGAGCCTGTCCAGGAGACCTTGGCTGCTGCGGTCCCCAAGATCATGGCTGCTTTCGGCAACTTTGCCAATGACAATGAGATCAAGGTAAGGCCTTCTCGGTCACACGCGTGTCGAGGGCGTCATGGGCACAGGCCGGGGCGGGGCCTGCTCACTGTTTCCCTTCTCACGGAGTACAGCCGGTGAGAGGTATCAGTTCTAGGCGGACAGCATCACACGCACACCATGTAGACAGTGCGAAGCGGTCATCAGTGATGGGATCCTTGCTCCTGGGGGAGGCCTTGGGGTACCCCCGGAGTCCCTCCGGGTCTTGTACGTGGAGGCATGCTGCTGCTCTCCCAGCGTGCGGTGAAGAGCTGGAGAGGGAGGTGGTGCCAGGGGCTGCTGGCCAGGGCGCGACCTCGTCTCCTTGAGGCAGCTGAGGAAAGGCCGGGGTGGGGATATTGGGGGGTGGGCAGTCACCTGGGCCCTCTGGCGCGCGCCCGCGGCCAGCAGGGTGCTTGCTGCAAGCTCCAGGTTCGGTTTATGCGTCTCACTGAAACCGTTGAGGTGCGTATGGGCTGTTCTTTGCCCACACGCTCGGCTTCTGCTGCGCCTGTCAATTTGAGTGTGTGGGAGAGTCGCGCACGGGCAGTGGGTGTGTGCGTACGCCTTCACCCAGAGCAGTTCTTTCCAGCGCTGGTATCGCCTCTCGGGCGAACAAGGGTTATCAGAAATGTCCACTGGGCTATGCAGGCGGGGTCTCGGCGGGAGGAGCTGGGAGCCTCAGGCCAGGAGCCTCTGGCCCGAGACCTGAGAGGCGACGTGGCCACTGCCTCTAGGGCAGAGGCCAGCCTGCGGGCGGGGCCGACAGCGCCCGCGTGGTCAGAGACACGCAGAGGTGGCCCTGCGCCGGGCTGCTGCTTGGGCCGAGTTGGCGCCGTGGGAGTGGGCTCCCCGGGGACAGCCGCCAGACGGGGCCCCGCCCGGCCACTCCTTTTCATTCTTCGGCGAACGTAAGAATTTGAAGCACATTCAGTTTTACCAGAAAGTCCGACGAGCTCCCTGAGACCTCTGTCTTCTCTCTGTGGGGCTCCTTGCTTCCTTAGGTTCTGCTGAAGGCGTTCATAGCGAACCTGAAGTCGAGCTCCCCGACCATTCGGCGGACGGCGGCCAGCTCAGCGGTCAGCACCTGTCAGCACTCGAGAAGGACGCAGTACTTTTACAGCTGGCTGCTGAGCGTGCTCCTGGGTAAGCGGTGGCGCATTTGCGTCTCCTCCCGGTCGGCCTTCCGGGTGCTCTGATGCCAGACAGCTCCTCACCTTCAACCCGGCTGTGGCACTGACTGGTCCGCGTGAACTGGGTTGGGTGGGCGGGACCCGAGGAGGGCCCGTGGCAGGCCCCCACCCCCCTCGCAGAGAGTAGATGTCGCTGGGCCCGGAGCGCGGGCCTCAGCTCCCTGAGGGGCAGCTCTGTCTGGCTGCACGCAGTGGTTTGAGGGAGCAGTGGGGTTCAGATGTGCAGGGACCCCGACCTTCCTGAGCAGCGGATTATGGCCACGGGCCGGGAGCTGAACGTTTGAAGGCTGCCCTGCAGTCCCCAGAGCACGCGCTTCGTGGGTGGCCGTGCCGTCTTCCTCCCCGCCGCCGGCCTCGCTGGAGGGTCCTTCTGTGGCCTCGCGTTCAGCCCGTGAGGCTGAGGCGCTGCGAGCGACAGCGCAGGCGCGAGGAGGTCTCGTTGCTCCCTGCAGGTCTGCTAGTCCCCGTTGAGGATGAACACTCCACGCTGCTGATTCTTGGGGTGCTCCTCACATTGAGGTACCTGGTGCCCTTGCTCCAGCAGCAGGTCAAGGACACGAGCCTGAAGGGCAGCTTTGGGGTGACACGGAAGGAAATGGAAGTCTCCCCCTCAACAGAGCAGCTTGTCCAGGTAGGAGCCGCGGGCGGCCCGGGGCCTGGGCGTGCAGACGGCGCTGTGTGAGCCCGAGGCCTCCTGCGGCCACTGCCGGCCAGGGCTGGGCGTGTGCGCTGCTGTACAGACGCTACTCTGTTCCTCTCCTGTGAGCTGTGAGATCTAGTTGTGATGAACCTTGAGCCATTAACACATGCAGACTTGGTTAATGTTAGAGACGGCACCATTTGCAATCACTTAGTGAAAGCAGCAGGCCCGGGGAGGGCCGCGCCGAGCCGCTGCCTGCACGGGCACCGGCGGCCGCGCCGAGTCCGAGTGTCGCGATTCGAATTGCAAGTGAAAACTAAACTAGAAACTTCGCTGGGTCTCTCTTTCACTTAGCAAAAATGGGCACTCAGGCTGCTCTTTTGAAAAAGCAAAATGATGTTTTAACAAAGTGAGACTGGACCCCGGCCTTGGGCTCCGCGTTCAGCCCTCGGTCACGGCCCTTAGCCACATGGCCACCACGTGGCGCCACCCTCTGAGCGAGGGGCCATGTCCTGTGTGTGCTTCCTAGGCCCCAGGCCCTCATTTCTGGGGGCGCCTCGCTTCCAAAACCAGAGCCCGTGCCACGTGCTTATCCCTTCAGTGACTGTCCTGTGAGCAGCTGTCCAGACAGCGGGCAGCTCCGGGGCCCGGAGTGTGGTCTGGGGGGCGCACACGCCCTCGGAGGCCGCGCGGCCGGTACAGGGGGCGGCGAGGCCCCGATGCTGAGGGCTGTGGCCTCAGCTCTGCCCCGCAGCGGGTGCGCTAGGTGTGACCACGCGGCACGTTTCAAGCAGTCGGATCTGGTGAGCTGTGCTTTCCCCGGGGTCCGTGCGCCTCGGTGTCCGGGGTGGTGGCCGGCCCGGCTCTTCCCGTGTCGTGGACGGTGCACATACTTGTCCTGCGGGGGGCGCCCCCTCGGGTGTTTGTGCTGGAGCTTGGCGTTGTAGTTTATGGGTTTCTGGGCCCACTGGGTTTGTGGGTGGTGTGTCCTTTACTAAAATTTTGTAGGGTGTGGGTCTCTTGAGTGAGCCGGAAGGTTATTGCTAGGATTTATGCCTGGAAGGATTGAGTTAGGCGGTGTCTGTCAAAGGCTTAGCATCCCCCCTGGCCCGGTGCCAGGCCCTGTGGGAGTGGAACGGTACGTGGCTGCGCCCGGCCTGCGCCTCCAGCGGTGGCCAGTCGTAGCGCGACAGTGTGCGGCCGCAGGAGGCCGTCGCCGAGCGCTGTATGAGCTAGGGAGCGGGCAAGTGTGGCGGTGACTCCGTGGAAGAGTGGTCCCGTCTTTCCATGGGTTTCTTGACTTTGGCGTGGTGGCGACGGCGGATGGACCAGGGGGCCCTCGCGGTCCCAGTGCGGGCCGGGCGTGCTCTGCGGGTGCCTGGTTTCTTTTTGACACCTCGGCGTCTCCAGGGGAGGCTGCCTGTGCGTGGGCAGATACATCACGAACACCTGCGGGCTGTGCTCCAGGGGTGTGCACGCAGTTACACCGGGAGCTCCTCAGTGTCTGAGGGACACTCACGTTTCACCGGGCACCCTGCGTGTCGCTGGCAGCTCGGCTAGAAGTGAAGGATCGAGCCCGTTTGTCGCTGCAGTGCGGCGCAGCGTCCGGAGCACACGTGGCCCTGGACTCGGCCTCGCGTTCCGGCTCGTGTCCGTGGCCAGGTGGCTCTCTGCGCGGGGCGTGTCGGGCTGGCGGCTCGTGCGCGGCGAGCTGTTGCCTTTGCCGGCCGCCGGCCAGGAGGAGGAGCTCGGCACACGGACGGCCGCGGCAGTAACCTGCGTGTTCCTAGGTTTATGAGTTGGCCCTGCGCTGCACTCAGCACCAGGACCACAACGTGGCGACTGGGGCCCTGGAGCTCCTGCAGCAGCTTCTCCGCACGCCTCCGCCCGACCTGCTGCAGGCCCTGACCTCGGCCGGAGGCATCGCGCAGCTGGCGGCTGCCGAGGAGGAACCGAGGGCCCGGAGCCGTAGTGGGAGCATCGTGGAGCTTCTAGGTGAGTGGGTGTGGCAGCAGCTGTGCCCTGGCCGCGGCCGTGGGTGAGGGGACCCTTGCAGCCAGGCCCCAGCACTCTGACTCAGCTCCTTCCTCCTGGCGCTCCGGGTGTCGTGGCATGAACACTTCGGGGAGCGTCCCCGAATCCTTGCGTCACGTCCCGGGGCTGGGCTCCGCCAGAAGCCTGTGTCCTGGCTGAGTTCGCACAGCCCTCGCCTGCCCCGGCGTCTCCTGCGGCCTCTGCTCTGCGCCCCTGCACTCGGGCTCAGGCTCAACCCTGCCACGGGGCACCGCCTGACAGGGCAGCCACAGGGTTTCCTCCAGCCTCGGGCCTGCTCACGTGGCGTTGCCACTTGGCCTGCAGAAAGATGGGGACAGCTGCGGCCTCTGCTGGTGGCCTGAGGCCAGGAGGCTCCTGTAGCTGTTGCTGACCCGCCCCTCCTCAGGCCTGCGTGTCGGAGTGTCGGTGCCTCCTGCACGGCCTCCCGCTGCCTGCAGGCTGGACAGGCTCCCCTGGCTCTAGGAGCACCTCGCTGGACACCATGTGTGCCTTCCTCACACACCGCAGGCAGAAAGCTTGTTCTAGTGAGGGTGGATAGCTGAGATTTTACCCTTGACTATTAGCCCAGTCATCTGGGGTTTCTCGGGTTTTCAACTTGATTTTCTAAAGTGCAGTTTATTGTGGCCTGACACTTTGGCCATGGTTTTCGAATTCTGTGTTTGCTGGGCTCTGCGCTGTGAGACGGAAGCCCGCAGTGCGGGTGTCGGACGCGCGCCCGTGGTGCTGTGACCACGAAGCCGCTAGTTTCCAAGTCGAATCAGCTTCTCGAGCTTTTCCGATTCCGTCCAGATTTCAGCAGCTGTTACCTTCCTTTCACCTGTCGTTTTCTGTGATTACAGCTGGAGGGGGTTCTTCATGCAGCCCTGTCCTTGCAAGAAAACAAAAAGGTGATTTTTTCAGAAATCCAAGCCTCACTGTTGCAAACCTCCCGCCTCTCCTTCATGCCCGGCCGCGCCTGTGCCTCCTCTCCAGCGGGGCGTGAGTGTTGCCGGCGCCGCTGCGGGCCTGGGCGGTGCCTTTGTGCGGTGTCTTTGTGCGGTTTGCGTGTGTCACAGTCCGTTCTCACCGACGTGCAGCGCTGGGCCCAGGGCCAGCTGGTGCCCCGCTTAGCTGGCTCTTGCCCCAGCCCCGCCCCGCCGGTCTGGGCGGCCCTGGGCCCAGCGGAGCTTGCACAGGAACCGGTGGCCCCCCTTTCCAGGAGTTTTGTCGGCTGTCCGTCTGGAAAGGGCTCGTCGCCGTTTTGCGGGCATCCTTAGTCTTGTAGGAGCCAAGGTGTGCCGCGACGTTAGCCAGGCCACAGCCTTTCTGCGGCAGCCGCTGCCTTCGGTGAGCGCTGCCTGTCTGCCACGCCGCTAACCCGCGTCTAGATTTCCACAGGACAGCACTGCTGCCGTGCTCTCCTTGGCGCGCTTTCGAGGCTCACCCCAGGGAGACCGTGCGTCAGTGGTGGACGGGAGCCTCTCGGCTGGCTAAGGCTTTTTGGGGAGCTTTCCCCCAGTAAGAACCTACTTCATGCTCCTTCTAGAGGCTTCCTCACCTGGCTCAGCTGCTTTGCCAGGTGGTTCTGAAGCTGCGCTTGGAGCCTGCGGTGAGCTCCCGAGGCGGCCGCGCCGGCCTCGCGCCCCGGCCGGGACAGCTCCAGCTGCGGACGTTGCCTGGTGTCGGCGGGCACCTCGGGCCGGGGGTCTTCGGGCCGGCCCTTGGGGTGCCGGGGTCGCTCGGGCTGCCTTGTCCTTGGTAAGGACTCCTAACGTGACTTGCCCAGCGGCTGTTTTTTCGGTTTTGTTTGGGCTGCAGAACTCTTTCCAAGTGAAATCTGCCGCAGGTGAAATGCGAGCAGGCGGCGGTGAGGCAGCAGGGCTGGGCGTGGCCCGCGCTGCCCGGGCTCTGGGCGCCCGTGCTGGCAGGCAGAGGCTGACCGCGGAGTTGTTTCCGTCATCCCTCGTTGCTGCCACAGACCCTGCCGTGGGGTAGAGAAGTTGCCGTGTTAGTTGCTCTAGAGCTGGGGCTCCGCGCCTCCTTCCTGCCTTGGCGGCTCATCGGCGTAGTTTCCGGAATTATCCCAACGGGACCTGCTCTCTGACGAGCAGTGACATTAGAACTTGGAATTGTCCAGCCAGAATTCTGATAGTGTCACTTGACTCTTTAAATGTGACCGTAGTGGTCTGGTGAGGCCGGTACAATCATATGGCTTGACCTTAGTTTTCCTTTTCTTATTACTATTAGAAGCTATGAACTGTAAAATTCATCATGGGAATTTTGCAGGAGATAAATTATTACATCATCTTTTCAGACCATGCCGTGCTTGAGTTCTGATTTTCACCCCTACTAGAGCCTGGCAAATTCTAATATAATAAAAGTGACGTTTGGGTATAGAAGTTTCATGTACAGATTCCGTTGCGCTGTTGAAGACGTGACACGGTGTCTGAACGGTTAGTAGAGTCGGTTCCAGCCAGAACTAACCATCTTAAAGATTAAGTACTTATATGAATTATTCAGCATTGACAGTAATCTAGGTCGATGAGTATTAATTATTAAAAAAAAAAAAACTATGGTGCAGCTTAAAAGTCATTGCTTTTAATTCTTTTCCACGTAGGCTTACGGGTGCCCGCACAGCTGGCAGCCTCTTCCCGCACCTG